TACAATGGGATCTACGTAAAGTTGATAATTATGAGTGTTATGAGGAATTTGATTGGGAAGTTCAATGGCAAAAAGAAGGAGATTCGTTAGCTCGTTATTTAGTTCGAATTGGTGAAATGACGGAATCTATAAAAATTATTCAACAGGCTTTGGAAGGAATTCCCGGCGGACCATATGAAAATTTAGAAATTCGCTGCTTAGATAAAGAAACAGAGCCAGAATGGAATGATTTTGAATATCGATTTATTAGTAAAAAAGCGTCTCCGACTTTTGAATTGCCGAAACAAGAACTTTATGTAAGAGTTGAGGCTCCTAAGGGAGAATTAGGAATTTTTCTAATAGGTGATCAAAATGGTTTTCCTTGGAGATGGAAAATTCGTCCACCGGGTTTTATCAATTTGCAAATTCTTCCTCAATTAGTTAAAACAATGAAATTGGCCGATATTATGACAATACTAGGTAGCATAGATATCATTATGGGAGAGGTTGATCGTTGAAATGATAATTGATACAACAGAAATACAAGATATCCATTTTTTTTTCAGATTGGAATCTTTTAAAGAGGTATATGGAATTCTATGGGTATTTGCCCCTATTTTTATTCTTGTATTAGGAATCACAATAAGTGTACTAGCAATTGTATGGTTAGAAAGAGAAATATCCGCAGGGATACAACAGCGTATTGGACCTGAATATGCTGGTCCTTTTGGAGTTCTTCAAGCTCTAGCAGACGGAACAAAACTACTTTTCAAGGAGAATCTTATTCCATCTAGAGGAGATATTAATTTATTCAGTATCGGACCATTCATATCAGTCATATCAATTATAATAAGCTATTCAGTAATTCCTTTTAATTATAACTTTGTTTTATCTGACCTCAATATCGGTGTTTTTTTATGGATTGCTATTTCAAGTATTGCTCCCATTGGACTTCTTATGTCAGGATATGGGTCAAATAATAAATATTCCTTTTTGGGTGGTCTACGAGCTGCTGCTCAATCGATTAGTTATGAAATACCATTAACTCTATGTGTGTTATCAATATCTCTACGTGCGATTCGTTGAGACAGAAGCTTTTCGATACTATTGCTATACTCCCCCCTTTCTTTATAGTGCTTTCTAGTAAAGAAGGATAATAAATTGAATATATATCCTTATCATTATTCTTTTTCGAAATTCGGATTGAAGAATTTAATCAGATAGTTATATGAGTGAAATAAAACAGCTTCTATTGAATAGAATTTATTAATTCTATATATATACTATATTACTTATAGTTATATATTACTTATAGTTAATAGATAGTATGAGGAGTTAAAATTGCAGTCAAAATATTGAGTCTCATTTTCCATGTATAAGAATTAAGTGAAAAAAAAAATTCTATTCTATTTCTTCAGTAGAAGAGGTCATTTACCCCCAAGGTTGGTTGATTAGTCATCCTGTCTTGAAGCGGGCACAAAAGAAAAACCAACCTTTTTTTTGAGTTTTCACTATCATTTGTATGAATTATCATACATGTATTAACATAACTAAAGGGGTTTAATAAAAAAATGAATGGATGGGTAGAAACACCAAAATACACAAAGGATTAGTAACGCAAATTTTTTTAAATATCCAAAAGAGCATTTATACATAATAGAAAAAGAATACTAATTGGGGCTTTAAGTTGGTAGAAAAAATCAGGCAGTACTCCCTACAATTCCGATCCAGAGTATGCTCCCATCCACTGATTAAATAAATGACTATCAGGAACGAAATAATCCTTTACTTTTGTTTTCATTAATTCACTTTTTTTTTTGAGTCCCTTTTTAGTTGCACAAAAAAAGGCTAGGAGCGAAAGAAAAAGTGATACCCTTTTTCTTTTTTTTTCTTACATCTATATTCTAGGAAGATGGAATTCATGTCATAATTCAGAAAACGAATGTATAATTCTTTTTTGTAATCGAAAATGATGGAGAAGTTATTGAGAATTCTATAAAGAGTATTTTATTGAAGAATTCAGTTATTACTCAACAAATTCCAATTTTTTTTTAAAGGGATAAGATCAATTCAGAAGTACTTTTTGTATCTTTTATTTATTCAAATAAAATTTGAAATGTATTTTTCTTTATTATTAATTTTTTCATTAAATAAAACAAAACAGACAGAATTCAATTGGTCTAATTCAGAACCGTCCGATAAAATCGAATCTTATCCATTTTATAAATATATCAAGAGATAAATAATCGGTCTGGTCCTTAGATTTATTGAAGGCTTAAAAGGAGCCGTATGAGGTGAAAAATCTCATGTACGGTTCTGTAATAGAGATGGGAACAGTAATGTTATCACCGACTAGGATTATCTAACAGCTTAAGTACAGTTGATATAGTTGAAGCGCAATCCAAATATGGTTTTTGGGGATGGAATTTGTGGCGTCAACCTATGGGTTTCATCGTTTTTCTAATTTCTTCTTTAGCAGAATGTGAAAGATTACCTTTTGATTTACCAGAAGCGGAAGAAGAATTAATAGCGGGTTATCAAACCGAATATTCGGGTATCAAATTTGGCTTATTTTACATTGCTTCCTATTTAAACCTATTAATTTCTTCCTTGTTTGTAACAGTTCTTTACTTTGGTGGTCCGAATATCTCTATTCCGTACATATTTGTTTCTGAATTTTTTGAAATAAATAAAGCATATGGAGTTTTTGTAACAACAATTGGTATCTTTATTACACTAGCTAAAACTTATTTGTTCTTATTCGTTTCTATCACAACAAGATGGACTTTACCTAGGCTAAGAATAGATCAATTATTAAATTTTGGATGGAAGTTTCTTTTACCCATTTCTCTCGGTAATCTATTATTAACAACTTCGTCTCAATTGTTTTCACTATAAAAAACGGACCTTCTATATTCATAACTTGTCTCAAACAAGAGAAAGAAAAAAAACAAAAATAATCAGAGATATTCACGATATGTTCCTTATGATAACTGGATTTATGAATTATGGTCAACAAACAGTCCGAGCTGCAAGGTACATTGGTCAAAGTTTCACGATTACCTTATCTCACGCAAATCGTTTACCTGTAACTATTCAATATCCTTATGAAAAAATAATCACATCGGAACGTTTCCGTGGTCGAATACATTTCGAATTTGATAAATGCATTGCTTGTGAAGTATGTGTTCGTGTATGTCCCATAGATCTACCCGTTGTTGATTGGAAACTGGAAACTGATATTCGAAAGAAACGATTGCTTAATTACAGTATTGATTTCGGAATCTGTATATTTTGTGGTAACTGTATTGAGTATTGTCCAACAAATTGTTTATCAATGACTGAAGAATATGAACTTTCGACTTATGATCGTCACGAATTGAATTATAATCAAATTGCTTTGGGCCGTTTACCAGTGTCAGTAATTGATGATTATACAATTCGAACAATTCAAATAAAATTAAGTTAATTATAATATAATTATAAAATCTTTTTCTAAAAATAAAGATTATATAAATCAAATCATATTCGATATATTTCTATATATAAATATATGTATTTGAATAATATATATGAATAATATAAATTTGGATAATAAGAAAAATGTTATTAAAAAAAAAGAATAAATCTTAGAGGTAGATATTTTTATATTAGATATTCTATTAGTAGAAATATTCGATACATATATTATATATATACTTTAGTTTTCGTATAGTTTCAAACTACTCTTTCATAGAAAGAATGGAATGACATTGATCCTATAACTGTACCTATAGCAATTCACACTTATTATCTTAGGATTTGATTGAATTCAATGCGGAGAGAAATTTAGTATTTAGTATATAATTTTTTTCCTGGTCATATCAATAAAGTCATGAAATTTCGATTTATTTATCTCTTATTTTACATATAATGGATTTGCCTGAACCGATACATGATTTTCTTTTAGTCTTTCTGGGATCGGGTCTTATATTAGGAAGTCTAGGAGTAATATTACTTACCAACCCAATTTTTTCTGCTTTTTCGTTGGGACTGGTTCTTGTTTGTATATCTTTAGTCTATATTTTATCAAACTCCCATTTTGTAGCTGCATCGCAGCTACTTATTTACGTGGGCGCTATAAATGTTTTAATCATATTTGCTGTAATGTTCATGAATAGGTCAGAATATTACCAAGATTTTCGTCTTTGGACCATTGGGGATGGAATTACTTTGATGGTTTGTACAAGTATTTTTGTTTCACTAATAACTACTATTCCAGATACATCATGGTACGGGATTATTTGGACTGTGAGACCAAATCAGATTATAGAACAAGATTTTATAAGTACTAGTCAACAAATTGGAATTCATTTATCAACAGATTTTTTTCTTCCATTTGAACTCATTTCCATAATTCTTTTAGCTGCTTTGATAGGTGCAATTGTTGTGGCTCGCCAATAAGAACTTATTCTAACTAATAATCTAAATCTGAATTCTATTTTGTTTAATTTTCTCCCAGTTATTTCCGTTGAATTCTTGTTCATATTGATGAAATGAATCAAAATTGGTAAGGAGTTGGTCAATGATGTTCGAGCATGTACTTATTTTGAGTGCCTATTTATTTTCTATGGGTATCTATGGATTAATCACGAGTCGAAATATGGTTAGAGCCCTTATGTGTCTTGAACTTATACTGAATGCAGTTAATATAAATTTCGTAACCTTTTCTGATTTTTTTGATAGTCGCCAATTAAAAGGAAATATTTTTTCAATTTTTGTTATAGCTGTTGCAGCCGCTGAAGCAGCTATCGGACCTGCTATTGTTTCCTCAATTTATCGTAACAAAAAATCAACCCGTATGAATCAATTGAATTTGTTGAATAAATAGTATTGATTATAATAAATCATAAAAAGTAGAATTTAGAATGAATAGTGTAATATTTATCAATTCAAATTAGCATGTATGATACGCAACTTAGAATCATGTTTGTGAAAATAAATAAAAGAAATCAAAGTATTTTGGTCCTATTCTCTTCTTATGAATTGATCTATAAGTCTATTTTTATTAGCAAAATTCTGATAAATCATTGATTCATCTGGTGTCTAAATATAGAATTCATTTACGAGTTTACTAGATCGAAAATTTTCAATTTTTGATGTTCAAAGATTTCTATAGATTCAATGTCACATTCAGTAAAGATTTATGATACATGTATAGGATGTACTCAATGTGTTCGAGCCTGCCCCACAGATGTATTAGAAATGATACCTTGGGACGGATGTAAAGCTAAGCAAATTGCTTCTGCCCCAAGAACAGAGGACTGTGTTGGTTGTAAGAGGTGTGAATCCGCCTGTCCGACGGATTTCTTAAGTGTTCGAGTTTATTTATGGCATGAGACAACTCGAAGCATGGGTCTAGCTTATTGATACGTTTCAAAAAACACCACACAAATACGTTTTTTTTTACTGACAAAAACCCGCGCTCAAAATAGAAAAAAAATTGCTTTTCTATTTTGAGCGCGGGTTTTTCTGGTCTAAGTATATCTTATTTTTATCACGAATTATTTTCCTTGGTTAACAATAATTGTAGTTTTGCCAATAGCTGGAGGTTCCTTAATTTTCTTATTTCCTCATAAAGGAAATAAGGTGATTAGGTGGTATACTATTTGTATATGCTTAATGGATCTCCTTCTAACAACCTATGCATTTTGTTATCATTTAGAATTGGATGATCCACTAATTCAATTGACAGAGAATTATAAATGGATCCATTTTTTTGACTTTTACTGGAGATTCGGAATAGATGGACTCTCTTTAGGACCCATTTTATTGACAGGATTTATCACCACTTTAGCTACGTTAGCAGCTCAGCCGGTTACTCGAGAATCACCATTTTTTTATTTCCTGATGTTAGCAATGTATAGTGGTCAAATAGGATCATTTTCTTCTCGAGACATTTTACTTTTTTTCATCATGTGGGAATTAGAATTAATTCCCGTTTATCTACTTTTATCTATGTGGGGGGGTAAGAAACGTTTGTATTCAGCTACAAAGTTTATTTTGTACACTGCAGGAAGTTCCATTTTTTTATTAATGGGAATTCTGGCTATGGGTTTATATGGTTCTAATGAACCAACATTAAATTTTGAATCATTAACTAATCAATCGTATCCCATGGCGCTGGAAATAATTTTCTATATGGGATTTTTTATTGCTTTTACTGTCAAATCGCCAATTATACCTTTCCATACATGGTTACCAGACACCCACGGGGAGGCACATTACAGCACTTGTATGCTTTTAGCCGGAATCTTATTAAAAATGGGAGCATATGGATTGGTTCGAATTAATATGGAATTATTATCCCGCGCTCATTCTATATTTTGCCCCTGGTTAATGCTATTAGGTTCAATTCAAATAATCTATGCAGCTTCAACATCTCTTGGTCAACGTAATTTAAAAAAAAGAATAGCTTATTCCTCAGTATCTCATATGGGTTTCTTAATTATAGGAATTAGTTCTATAAGCGATACGGGACTTAATGGCGCTATTTTACAAATAATCTCTCATGGATTTATTGGCGCTGCGCTTTTTTTCTTG